AAACTACATCGCTATTTTCGAACCTTCAGTCTGGAGATAGCAATGTAGTTTCCGATGAGTTAGGTAATTTACCGGACGAAGCAGGAAAACTTCGAGAAAATTTTTTTAGGTTCCCAGAATTTAGAATAACTGTAAATCCGGATTATAAACCGGATAACTAACACATATCCGGATATAAATTCGGATTGGAAAAAATGAAATAGGATATCTATCCGGATCCAAGCACTACTACCCTGATAGACTGACAATTAACTTATTCTCGATACTATTCTTTATTCACATTCTCAGAGATATTACTACATTAATTGATCCTATAAATATTATTGCGATTCTTTGCATGTAAGTTTATTTAATCTGATCCTTCGTTCGACTTTATTGTATGGTACTTACATATTTTTTAATTATACATCTTTAGTGTCTTTGGTTTTATAATCGTAGCCATCGAAATACCCGTCTTCCCCTTCAAGGGTACTTTTATAGCAACATCTTTTATCCCACGAATCATACTATACTTACTCATTAGTGGCGTTTCTATCTTAAATTATCAAAATGTCAATCCCGCTTTATATTTAACCATCGCTGCTATTATGTATATTGCTGCAGCGAGAGGTGGTGAAGGAAGGCATAGAATTAAACAAGATGATTCAAGAAGAAAAATAGTAGTATGATCGTTTAGGATAATTAATTGTATAATATTGAAAAAATGCTACTTTTTATCTTTGAAGTTTTGTAAAAAAAATAAATAATGGAAAAAAAGGGAAGATAGAACAAATGGGTTAATTATAGTGTATTGTTTATATGTACATTTTGTTCTTTACTTTCTTTATGATGATGTGCTATACTTTTTATCAAAGATTTTGGAATAAAATAATTAAAATAATGTTCAGTAAATCGAATCGTATTGTAATCCATTACACAATGCAGCTTACGTTAATCTTTGTTGGCTACATCAAAACAATTATCGCAGTTCAATATTATACGTATAAATTGTTATTGGATGCAATATTACTGGTTAGTATCGCATACAATACCCTGGTCTTACTCAAGAATTTCTTTCATTTTTAAAATTGGTACCAGGTACTATTCACAATTCAATTTATTTTCATTGGTGTAGAGATGTTACCCGGTCATAAATTTTATATGTAAAACCCGGTTTTTACATATAAAATTTATGACCGTCTACATTGGTGAAGGGTTATTTTTGGTGAATACTATATGCAGTGCTAAACGACTATGCATTATTTATTGCGAATTCTGCAGAATTAACATGTTATGAATCTGACGTCCAGACTCGTGCAAATTTTATGCGATATAAAAAATTTTGATTATGTGATATCAGTGCAATTAATTAGGTAGGTAATTGTCAGCCGGCTTTGAGCAAGATTTATGCATTTTTAACCGATATTCGTCCAATAAATAAAGTCATAGAAAAATAATTTTTCTGTAACATTTTCTAATAGAAGTT